TCAGGAAGGGGTGTAAATCCTCTGGAGGGCAAGTGGTTAAAGAATAACAAGATACAAACAATCAGAAAATATGGTCCCTTGCAGAGGACCAAGGTCAAATGGACAATACAAAAACCTACATGTATCCAGGTTAGCCCTCAACAAGGAGTGCCCCAAAATAGGGCAATATGTCTCTGGTTGAAAATACCAAAAGGTGGCAAAGCGAGGTGGAGGGCCGTGGGGAAAAGAAATAACTAAAAAAAAAAAAAAAGGGGGGGGGGGGGGGGAGGGAAAGACAGCAGAAAGCCAAGGAGGAAAGAGTGCAGTTAGAAAGTACTGAAAGAAGAATTAGAGATGAGTGAACCTGCAGGCAAGAGCCTCCTCTAGTAAAGGTAAATACCCAAATTGGATGCAGGAAGTGAGGGGTGGGCAAAAGACCACCAAGGATTCCATATTTTCAGGAACCTAGGGTGAGAATCACTGAGGACACTCGACATTTTCTCATGGACCATAAAAGTGGTCATAACATTCCTCACTTCAGCGATTTGAACAGTTGGTTTCTTCCAGGCCCTAGCAATGGCCCTTTTTGCCGCTATAAAAAGATATTTGGCCAGTTTCTGCTCATGGGCTAGGAGGCCAGGAAGCAAGCAATGTAGGAGTTCATGGCGAGGGTCTCTACAGAAGGTAGAGTGGAGAAGGGACAAAAGAAGGCCGTAGACTCTGGATCAAAAGCCCACTAATCGCGGGCACTTCCACGATACATGTAACTCATCTCCACGAACTCCACAGCCTCTAAAACATCGATTGTCACAAGATGGGTTTGCATGAACTATACAAGCCGGGACCCAGTACCATCGGAGAAGGAGCTTATATGCCTCCTCCATAGTGGTGGTATTGAACAAGCATTTCGCTACAGCCGACCAGGCCCTGCTCCAGACCTCTGGAGCCAAGCAGACAGCAAGATCACGTTCCCATTTTAAGACTTAAGAATGGGAGCCAGGAGGATGTTCTGTGAGAAGATGTGAGTGGATTAGGAGAGATGCTGCCATGGGCAACAGGAGAATGCTGAAAAACGTGCTCAAAAGCCGTTTTCCAGAACAGAAATGTGGAATCGCGGCGAAGGGAGGAGATCCAGTGTCTAAGCTGCATATAGGGGTACCATTCTGCTGGAGAGGCTTTATGAATTTTTCAAATGGAGGACCAAGAAGGAAACAATCAGGAATTCAAAAAGTGGCGCACCTGGGAGTAACCGTGGGCGGCCACCAGATAAAAGCATGGGGTTGTGCCAAGCCCGGGGGGAACAGGGGGTTATTCAATAGGGGCAGAAGGGGGACATCAATTTGACCGAGTGGCGATACATGTAGTCCCATACATGTCAAGTCCCATTCACGTAGGCTATGAGTCATGAGCGGGCTGAAGCCAAAGAAAAGCTGGAACCGGGACAGGAGCACAGTCAGGGATTTCCAGCAAGACCCACAGGGGGATGTCTGAGGTAGCGTGTAGCAATGTTAATTGTGAATTTTGGGCTGCTAAATAGTATTTTGTTACGTTGGGAAACCCAAGACCCCCTTTCAACCTGTGGGCATAAAGAGTGGCACGTGCCACTCTGTGGCGTTTATTGGCTCAGATAAATGTCAGAATTTTGTTTTGGGGAGATCGCAAAAAGAGATAGAATGCAGAGCGGGAGGGTCCTGAAAAAGTAAAGTTATTGGGACTTTCAAGAAATATTATTTACGTCACACTTTTCGTCAGGCAGTGATGGCTATTGATGAAACAGGAACAACCTTGTGACAATTTTGGAAGGACTGCAAGGCCATAAAAAAACATCAACTTTACTTTCATGAGGTTTCAGCTGTCACGATGAATGGGGTTTGGAAGAACCTTTGCCCTCAGTTTGTTCATGAAGTTCATAGACTTGAGAAGATGGGTAAGGAGTCCAAAGAGGTCTTCAACAACTTAGTGACCCTTAGCATGAAGCTGGAGCTAGATCTGCAAGAGGACGACTTCATTGAACTCCTTGCTGTGCAACATGAGGAGCTTACGAATGAGGACCTGATGAAATTAGAGGCCCAGCAAAAAGACAGAGAGCCAAGAGGAAGATATAACTGAAGAACCAAAGAGATTCACAACCCAGTAAATTACATTGGAATTTTCTTTACTTGAAGAGGCACCGTTAGTTTTTGAGGCACAGGTCCCCAACGATACACAAAGGTTGCAGCAGCCATTCAGAATGCCATCCAGTACTACAGAGTCATCTATGACAAGAAAAAAAGAGCTACTACTCAGACATCACTGGATCATTTTTTCCAGAGGGTAGACAGAATTTATCCATCAAAAATGTCATCAACATCAGGTTCTCAATTTGGTATGGGCCAAATTCCATATTTCCCTCCAACTCCTATTGTTGATGATCCGTCAGCTCCATCAACATCAGGTGTGGGCCAAATTCCATCTTTCCTTGCATCTCCTATTGCTGATGATCCTTCAGCTCCATCTCCCTCTTCCAGTTAGTAACGCTCTTCCACTATACGCCAGTTATGGTACTGTACCATCATTTTAAGGTAAATGTTAAAGCAAAAATAGTTTTACAGTTGTACTGTCCCACCATTTTAAGTTACAGTAACTGTAAAAGCAATATTTTATTTACAGTTGTACTGTACCATTTTCAGGAAACTGTAAAATTAAAAATATTTTATTTACAGTATTTGTGTGTTTTTTTTTTATGCTTTGCATTGTATATGTGTGTCAGAGGTGTATAAGACTCACTTTGTTGGACTGATGAACGAATCCGATTTACGAACGTTCTCCCGGAACAGAACTCATTCATAAGTCGGGGACTTACTGTACTTCGTGGAAGCACCTTTTGATTTTATTACAGCACTCTATCAGCATGGCACATCTTGACTTGGCAATATTTGCCCCCTCTTCCTTGCAAAAACACTCCAAATCTGTCAGATTGCGAGGGCATCTCCTGATCTCTTCAGATCACCCCACAGATTTTCAATGGGATTCAAGTCTGGGCCATTCCAAAACTTTAATATTCTTCTTAAGCCATTGCTTTGTTGATTTGGATGTATGCTTTGGGTCGTTGTCATGCTGAAAGATGACGTTCCTCTTCATGTTCAGCTTTCTAGCAGAAGCCTAGACTGGTATTTGGAACTGTTCATAATTCCCTCTACCATGACTAAGGCCTTAGTTTCCAGCTGAAGAAAAACAGCCCCAAAGCATGATGCTGCCACCACGCTTCACTGTGGGTATGGTGTTATTTTGGTGATGTGCAGTGTTGTTTTTGTGCCACACATATCTTTTGGAATTATGGCCAAAAAGTTCAACCTTGGTTTCATCAGACTATAACATTTTCCCACATGCTTTTGGGAGACTTCAAATGTGTTTTTGCAAACTTTATCCGGGCTTGGATGTTTTTCTTCATAAGAAAAGGCTTCCGTCTTGCCACTCTACCCCATAGCCCAGACATATGAAGAATATGGGAGATTGCTGTCACATGTACCACACAGCCAGTATTTGCCAGATATTCCTGCAACTCCTTTAATGTTGCTGCAGGCCTCTCGGCAGCCTCCCAGACCAGTTTTCTTCTCGTCTTTTCATCAGTTTTGGAGGGACAACCAGTTCTTGGCAATGTCACTGCTGTGCCATATTTTCTCCACTTGATGAGGACTGTCTTCACTGTGTTCCATGCTATATCTAATGCCTTGGAAATTCTTTTGTACCTTTCTCCTGACTGATACCTTTTAACAATGAGATCCCTCTGAAGCTTTGGAAGCTCTCTGCAGACCACGGCTTTTGCTGTAGGATGCGACTAAGAAAATGTCAAAGTGATTCCTTAGTCCCGGCTGATCAGCTGCAGGGGGAAGAAGTAGGGGGAGGGATCTCTGTCTCCAGCATGTGTGCCCCAATGTGAAACAAACTTATCTACGAGCTGCGGCACCCACCAGCACTTTCACTCTCTGTGATTGGCCTTGATTTCCGAGACAAGGTCAGTGCATTTTTGAAAATCCGTGACCAAATTGGGACAGTTGGCAACTATGCACTACTCTGGGTAAGTGATCAGAATTTTTTTTTTTTTATAACACACTATGATTGCTTATACCAGTGAATTTCATTGTTACAAGCAATGCATTTTACTGAATTAAATGAATTTCAATACTTACTATTGTTGGTAGCTGTGACTGGCCATAGCTACTCATAAGGTACAGATGAGCTGTGATTGATTCTGTCTGTACCATGTGACCAATCACAGAGCTCAACACAATAGTACACAACGAATGGCATGTGTACTATGAATCAATGCCATCCATTGTGTACAATTGTCATGTAAGCTATTGTGACTTGTCACAGCAAACACATGGTACCAGCAGTGGCTGGTACACCAATCGGTCATCCGCTGTGTCCGGTGAACACAGCGGGTGACAGATCACACCGTCATAACGGCAAATGTCAAATGACTGACGGGCGGGAAGTAGTTCAGACTGCAGTCACATCTGCGCACTTCCATGCATGTTCCTGGAAAGGAAAGTATGATCCTTGCAGTGAAGCTCAATGCCCAAAAAAGGTGTGAGAGATTCTTTGGCACATTTGTTGTATTTCGCACAGCCAATTCAATGTGAATGCGTGTTGTGCAAAAAATGCCCAGTCACATAACACACGTGTGGATGGGGCCTCAGAACGATTGTGAAGCATAAAAATAAACTTGTGTACAGCATACCAAGCCAAAAATCCACCTGTCAGCACCAACAACACCTTGGCAGTACTCTCTACTTCCTGTGCCAACCCTAACAGCCATGACTCTTCCACTGCGCCCCTCGTCCTGACCTCATGGCCGCTCTTACACAATTCTCAGAACAAACAACCAGCTGGGAACTCCCTGTGACATTCTAAACCTGACATCATCAGCACGTCACATGATCTGAGAAGAGCCACGCAGCCGAATCAACGCCACTGCCTCGGGCTGGCAGCATTGCGCCTGCGCGCCAGGTTGACACGCATACCTCTATCCACTGCGCATGCCTAATCTCCTGGCGAGAGTTCGGCAATCCTCCAGCGCGTGCGCTGTAAGCCCCAGTGAAGCCGCTCTCCCTCTTGCTGACAGACCGGGCTGCCCTTTTTGCTACGTATTTCCGGTGTGCGGTGTCTGTTCCCTGTTACTAGCCAGTGTCCAAGGCCCCGGGCCGGGAGAAGAGGAGGAGTCGTCGCCGCCGCCGGGAAGCGAACGGGGAGAAGCGGAGAGACGGAAGAAGGTGAGGTGGTCACTGGTTGGGGGGAGGAGGAGAAAAAGAAGACAAGAGGGGGGGGGGGGGGGCATGGCAGGGAAAGCCGGGGTGGCTGTGGTGAAAGTGAACAGGAAGGCCCTGGTGAGCCTCTTAGAGAAGGAGGAGGCATTACCCGGGACAGGTGTACAGGCAGGCGGCAACCGCAGTTTGTGAGGAGGAGGCTGAGTCCGGGCTGGGGGAGATGGGGCGACACGCAGACACATCCGGGCCGTGAAGGTATACTGTTCTATGGCAAAGGTCTCCCCGTCCATAGAGAGCCTGTCCATAGGCTGGACTCGTCTCCCCGTCCATAGGCTGGACTCGTCTCCCCGTCCATAGAGAGCCTGTCCAGTCTATACTGATCATCACAGTCCCAGGCTGGCCTAAGCACACCGATCCTGGCAGGGCTGATCACTTGTCACTGCTGAGCTGTAATGTAAACTGGTGTGCTCTGAAGATCCACACTGATCATTGACAGGGGGCTCTATCCCCCCCATCATCATCATCATTATTATCATCATTGTGTGTGTGCACAGGCCATCATCCCGACTGTAGGCTGATCACAGACAGGGGTCTCTATCCCCCCCCCATCATCATCATTATTATTGCTGTGTGTGTGTGCACAGGCCATCCATCCTGACTGTAGGCTGATCACTGACAGGGGGCTCTATTCCCCCCCCCATCATCATCATTGTGTGTGTACACAGGCCATCATCCCGACTGTAGGCTGATCACTGACAGGGGGCTCTATCCCCCCCCATCATCATCATCGTGTGTGTGCACAGGCCATCCATCCTGACTGCAGGCTGATCACTGATAGGGGGCTCTATCCCCCCCATCATCATCATCATTGTGTGTGTGCACAGGCCATCCATCCTGACTGCAGGCTGATCACTGATAGGGGGCTCTATCCCCCCCATCATCATCATCATTGTGTGTGTGCACAGGCCATCCATCCTGACTGTAGGCTGATCACAGACAGGGGGCTCTATCCCCCCCCCCCCATCATCATCATTATTATCACTGTGTGTGTGTGCACAGGCCATCCATCCTGACTGTAGGCTGATCACTGACAGGGGGCTCTATCCCCCCCCATCATCATTGTGTGTGTGCACAGGCCATCCATCCCGACTGTAGGCTGATCACAGATAGTTCACCATCTCTGGGTAGAGCCATATGAAATGACATTTGGGGATGGCTGCCTCCATGTATTACACACTGACAAGAACACCACTTTGATTAATGGCCGTAGTTGAGTCATTGGTTGTCCTGTGGGTTCAGCGGGTTTTCTCTCTTTTTTTGTTGATCAGTTACAAATGGCAGAATTGTGCATGGCATGTAGAGAAGATCAGTTACTTGTCAGTGTTTTTTGTTTAGGGCTACTAAACAACTAATCAACCTAATCGATTATACAAATTAACTATGTTCATAATTGAGTTGTTGGTCAGCTGATTAGTTGGCCTGCATACAAAATGCATTATTTGTTTACATATCAGTATACACAGTGCAACACACATGCAGCCCATTACTCCTTCATACACTGCTCAAAAAAAATTAAAGGAACACTTTGAAAACACATCAGATCTCAATGGGGAAAAATCTCATGCTGGATATCTATACTGATATGGACTGGGTAATGTGTTTGGAATGTAAGGATGCCCCATTGTTTGATGGAAATGATCAACCTACGGAGAACTGAATTCAAAGACCCAAAAATCAAAGTGAAAAAATGATGCAGCAGGCTAGTCCATTTTGGTGAAATGTCATTACAGCAACTCAGAATGGTACTCGGTAGTTAGTATGGCCCCCACGTGCTTGTATGCATGCCTGACAACATCGGGGCACGCTCCTAATGAGACGACAGATGGTGTTCTGGGGTATCTCCTCCCAGATCTGGACCAGGGCATCACTGAGCTCCTGGACAGTCTGAGGTGCAACCTGGTGGAGTCGGATGGACCGAAACATATCCCAGAGGTGTTCTATTGGATTTAGGTCAGGCGAGTGTGGGGGCCATTCAGTGGTATCAATTCCTTCATCCTCCAGGAACTGCCTGCATACTCTCGCCACATGAAGCCGGGCATTTTCATGCACCTGGAGGAACCTAGGACCCATTGCACCAGCGTAGGGTCTGACAATGGGTCCAAGGATTTCAACGCAATACATAATGGCAGTCAGGGTGCCATTGTCTAGCCTGTAGAGGTCTGTGTGTCCCTCCATGGATATGCCTACCCAGACCATCACTGGCCCACCACCAAAACGGTCATGCTGAATAATGTTACAGGCAGAATAACGTTCTCCACGGCTTCTCCAGACACTTTCACGTCTGTCACATGTGCCCAAGGTGAACCTGCTCTCATCTGTGGAAAGCACAGGGCACCAGTGGTGAACCTGCCAATTCTGGTGTTCAATGGCAAATGTGAGTCGAACTTTATGGTGTCTGGCAATGAGCACAGGGCCCACTAAAGAACGTCAGGCCACACTCATGAAGCCTGTTTCTGAATGTTTGGTCAGAGAAATTCACACTAGAGGCCTGCTGGAGGCAATTTTGTAGGGCTCTGGCAGTGCTCATCCTGTTCCTCCTTGCACAAAGGAGCAGATACCAGTCCTGCTGATGGGTTAAGGACCTTCTGCGGCCCTCTCCGGCTCTCCTAGAGTAATTGCCTGTCTCCTGGAATCTCCTCCATGCTCTTGAGATTGTGCTGGGAAACGCAACAAACCTTCTGGCAATGGTATTGATGTGCCATCCTGGAGGAGTTGAACTGCCTGTGCAACATCTGTACGGTCCAGGTATCACCTCATGCTACCATTAGTGACACTGACCCTAGCCAAATGCAAAACTAGTAAAAAAACAGAAAAGATGAGTAGGGAAAGAAATGTCAGTGGCCTCCACCTGTAAAACCATTCCTGTTTTGGGGGTCGTCTCATTGTTGCCCATCTAGTGCACCTGTTAATTCTATTAACACCAAAGCAGCTGAAACTGATTAACAACCCCCTCTGCTACTTAACTGACCAGATCAATATCCCAGAAGTTTAAATGAATTGATGCTATACTCTGATTAAAAAGTGTTCCTTTAATTTTTTTGAGCAGTGTACATATCAGTATACACAGTGCAACACACACAGAGCCCAGTACACCTTTCATACATAGTATACAACATGCAAAACACATACAGCTCAGTACACCGTTCATACAGCTCAGTATACACCTTGAAGCACACATACAGCTCAGTATACACCGTGAAGCACACATACAGCTCAGTACACCGTTCATACATGTCAGTATACACCTTGAAGCACACATACAGCTCAGTATACACCGTGAAGCACACATACAGCTCAGTATACACCGTGAAGCACATATACAGCTCAGTACACACCGTGCAGCACACATACAGCTCAGTACACCGTTCATACATGTCAGTATACACTGTGCAGAACACATACAGCTCAGTACACCGTGCATACATGTCAGTAAGTGCTTGAGAACACGAGAATGTGTGAGGAGCAATGCCTCATGGGACATGTAGTCCTAGGCAGGAGAAGGAAGTGGTTTAAAGTGATTTCTAAAGGCAGACTTTTTTTTATTTTTTACCGTTGCTATGGGGGCACTTTTTATTATACATTGCTGCTTGCCATATGGGCGTTCTGAAGGCAGGAGGAGCCAGAAGCGCCAGTGGGGGACCCCAGAAGAGCAGGATCAGGACTGCTCTTTGCAAAATCATTGCAGAGAGCATGTAAGTATGACATGTTTGTTATTGTGACCGCTTTCCGACTGCCTCACGTAGGAGCCCGGAGTAGAGCGGCTCTCCTGTGTTGGATCATGTGTCTAATACATGATCCAGCTCTTCTAGGTAGGGGGGACCTCTGCTGTGCTGTGGTTAGTCATAGCACAAGCTGATCAGCGGGTCGCAGCCAATGATTGATGGACGGGTCCCACTGATCGGCGAAGAGGAAGACAGGACAGAGCTCTGTGAGTGTAAACAACACAGAGCTCTGTCCTGACAGCGGGGAAGCAAGGCAGGGAATAAAAACTGGCACATCCCTTAGTAAAAGCAGCACACAGTGAATACACCAAGCACTGTTAGGCACACAGTTAACCCTTTGCCCCTAGATGTTAACCCCTTCCCAGCCAGTGGCGCGGTGTATATTATTAGCACTGATCACTGTAGTATTGTCCCTGGTTCCCACAAACTGTCAGTTTACCTGCCACACTATCGCAGTCCTGCTGTAAGTCGCTGATCACCGCCATTACTAGTGTAAAAATATATAGGAATTCCAGTATATATACCATAGATTGCAGACGCTATAACTTTAACACAAACCAATCAATATTCACTTATTGGGATTTTTTTTTTTTCACCAAAAATTTGTAGCAGAATACATTTTGACCTAAATTTATGGATCAATCTGATTTTTTTTGTTTTTTTTTTATTGGATATGTTTTATAGCAAAAAAGTAAAAAATATATATATTTTTTCAAAATCTTTTTATATAATACAAAAAAACCCCACTGGTAATCCAAATACAATCAAAGGAAAGCTCTATTTGTGTGAAAAAATATAAATTTCATTTGGGTACCGTGTTGCATGACTGCCCAATTGTCAGTTAAAGTAATACAATACTCTAAAATAGAAAAAAAATGGCTTAGCGATTAGGGGGTGAAGTGGTTATTAAAAAAATCCAATGTTTACGATCACTTTAAGGGCTCTGTGCAGGGTAGACAGGCATCTAAATCCAAAGAAGTTGGAGGCTTATTGATTAAAGGTAAATTAAGGCATTACACACAAAAAAAAGTGGCAGCCTTTAGTACTGCTTTAAAGTGATATAAAGAGCAATCTTTTTTTTTGTTTTAAAATAACAAACATGTCATACTTATCTGCTATGTGCAGTGATTTTGCATGAAGGTAAAAAACCTTGAGCCTTTACAACCACATTAATGTTGAAGATTTGTATCCCCTTCCCCCACCCTGTATATCCTACTTCTGGGT